ATCTCTGAGATTACTGTGCACCTCTATGATGAATCAAAGATATCAGCATATATAGGGAATAGACAAGATAATCAAAGCTATTCTCTAACACAGATAACCTATTGTGGCACTTGAGTGTCTTAAGATCAATATATTTTTGTACAGCAGTCTATTTCCTTTCTCCTCTGTGTCTAAGAAGAAAAAATAAACCTTGTCACAGATAAATTAGGGAGTCTTCAGGTTCAAAGTAATTAGTGAGAGAGGCATTGTTATGTATACCTAAATAATCAGGCATATACACAAACTCACAATTCCCATGCCACATATACACTCCATTTTAGAAAGATAATGAAGATAGCCACAACACAGAAGAATTAGTGTTTGAGAGGAAAGAGAGATAGAAAAAGAAAGAAAAAGTTGAAATTCATTAATATGTGTTTACTATATTCATTCAAGCTATATATATATTTAATTATTATTAGTTCTCTATATTCATTCATACTGCACATGGCTTGAAAGGGATAGAATAAATTAGTGACTAGGAAAGCACAGGGCAGAGGCACAATCAGACAAGGTCAAAGACAAAAAGTCATTTTCCATACTTTCACTTGTGCACTCATAACACCAATGAGCAGTTCATACCTGTTTTCAGAACTGCATGTCTCTTAGGTTACCGCCAGCCTTATAGAACTAGAGCCATAGGAACGGGTCAGTTCCTCCAGAAATTCCCCAGAAAACAGCCCTGGTTCTTTCTGTTTTTGTTTTTGTTTTTTTTGAGATGGAGTCTCGCTCGGTCGCCAGGCTGGAGTGCAGTGGTGCAATCTCGGCACACTGCAACCTCTGCCTCCCTGGTTCAAGCGATTCTCCTGCCTCGGCCTCCCGAGTAGCTGGGACTACAGGTGTGCACCACCACACCCGGCTAATTTTCGTATTTTTAATAGAGATAGGGTTTCACCATGTTGGCCAGGATGGTCTCGATCTCTTGACCTCATAATCCACCTGCCTCGGCCTCCCAAAGTGCTGGGATTACAGGCGTGAGCCCCCATACCCAGCCAGCCCTGTTTTCTTTAGTACTGTTCCAGGTCACCCTGGAGTTCAATTCCCCATGATGGCTGCCAACTCTGTTGTTCTTTTGCAATTTAAAAATAAATTCTAAGCTAGAACTATATTTATTAAGTGTCTTTAAATACATTCCTGCTAGATGAATAAAATTCAGCAATGAACTTGATTCATCCAAAGACCTTGATTTGCACATTCTCTAATATATGTTTATTGATAGTAACTAGAGAGGCATTTATGGTGTGGTATTCTTGGAGGATTTGGAAAGCAGGGGTAGTAGGATTTGTAATGAATAATAATGAATATATCATAGATATGAGGAAAGACAAAGTATTAAAAAAAGAGAAGTTAAGAAAGGGAGAAAGAACAGCTGATTAGAAAATTGTTTTTGCTTCTTGGTAGGAAATACTTGGCATGGAACTGGGGCATAGTCTCTGACCAAAGGGCCAGGAAGCGAAGTCAAAAGGAAGAAGGCTAGAAGAAAACTGCTTTTTTTTTTTCTTTTCCTCAAGATCACTGTTCTCTCTCACGGCCCATTGTTTTCTCTTGATACTGGAAGATCATCCTTCTTTTTCATGCTCTTGTCTCCATTAAAGAGTATCACAGAATGCCTTGGAAATAGCCATTTCTCAGAACAAACAACATTTTATGGCAGATGAACAGAAAAAAAAAGAGCCGATGTCATTCAGTATTTTACCAAAGTGACTTTTCAGAGGACAGGCATTCTAAAAAAGAATGACTGGAAAAGTTTACAAACTTATAATCCACCTTGATTCAAATTTAATTCAGTATTTCCCTTCAAGGGGGAAAAAAAAAAGTTCTGTTTTGAAAATTAAGCAAGGTACCCTACGACTTCTATTGAAATAACAGCAAGAGGTAAGGCTGAGGGAAAGCCTCCTCCCTCTCAAACCCAGGGTGCAAATACTCTCACGGTTGAAAATCAGATAAGAGTACGGACCTGCACACCTATCACAGAGACAACTTGAGATTCTGTAACAGGTCAAGCTATGAAATCTGGCACGGAGTCAATAAGACGAAGAGCTTAGAAATTTGAATCACATATACCCTTTCTCTCCAAATTTAATTGCATAGTCTTCTCAAACTTTTCCAATCAAATGCTAATAACACCAGGGATGAAATGGAGAAGATTCACAAAAAAAAAAAAAATGAAATGTCTTTGAATTCTTATTTTTTTTTCTTAAAGATTTATGCTTATTTGTATTCTTCTGCATAATATATCAGTTTGGTTTCAATATAAACTTTTACTCCATATTAACAATTAGCTTCAGAAAAAAATGTACTATATTTACTTTGTGACTCTACCTAACCCTAGATACATGGTTACATTGTTTAGCTCTAAAGGTGTTAGATTAGTTTAAAAGACCCACGTGCATTTGTTTTTTCCAGTCAAACACTGCTTAACCAGTGAGCACTGTATTATTTCTCTGATATTAAATTTCCAACAAAATTAACGTTCTTAGTACATTAAAGGTTTATTGTGAAAATCTCAAAAATAATTTCCAAAATCTAATCTTGATTGTTTATGTAAGTATTGAATTGAAATCAGTTATATTCTTTCTATACTTTGTGATCAAAGCTGGGAATATAACTTTGCTGACATATTTTCCTCAATGCTGTTTTTGGTGGATGTATACAGAAAATATTTTATCAGATTAAGAAAACCTGCTGTCGTCTGTGTCACTGTCTTCCCAACAGAGATATCCTGTTGTTGTCTTATGATGACTTTCCGTGGCTGATCATGTGAAATATATGGGATTGACTTCCTGAGAAAGTGTGGATAAAGCATCAAAAGCAAATCCTGACATCCTGATTAAATAACTGCCTCAGTTCCCTGTTCTCCAAATAAGACTCTGAAGCTAGAAGATGCTAGATGTAGCTTTGGATACAAGGCTTTCCACCTTCATGCTGAGTTTCTACCTTATTTGCTTCTGAAAACCAATGCAAAAGGAAAAGAGAAAATATTTCCACAGAAATGCTATTAAAAATTTTTAAAGAAGACACAAATGACTATATAATAATTTATCTAATTCCATTGACATGAAATGTCCAAAAAAGGCACATTTATTGGAACAGAGCACACCAATAGTTACCTAGGACCATGGGTAGGAGGAGGGATTAGCTACAAATGAGCAGAAAGGAAATCTTAGGGATGATGGAAATATTCTAAAATGTGATTGTGGTGATGTTTGGACAACTTTACAAGTTTAATGATAGTCTTTGAACTGTAGGTTTATGATGGGTAAATGTAGTGGTATGAAAATTATATCTCAATAAAATTGCTTTAAAAAAAAACAAACAAACCAAAAAAACAGGAACTGAAAACTCCAGGCTTTGGAGAGAAAGGATGTTTCAATTAGGCTCTTAATGATCTAAATATCAGGCAAATTTCTGGCTAATTAGAAATATTTAAACACAGAAAATAGGGCATTGCTTAAAATAACTGTAAGAGATGCCAAGACAAGGAAACGCACTCTATTTAGTAAGCAGTTGCTTCTGTCGATATTTTAAATTTCTTCTTTTTGTGTTAACTTAGATGGAACATTTGCCCCCCAAAAAGTAGAATTGGGCTGTATTAATTTGTCATGCCTATATCTTCCACCAAGAAAGAAGTTTATCACCTATAAAAGACTTCCTAGGATGGAATCAATAAAAGTTGGATTTCTCCTTTTTGTTCCTATAGAAAGACCCTATTGAGGAAAGAACTTAAAAAATGATGAGATACTATGGAGAATGACATGTGCTAGATATTCAACTAATCCAGTGTTTCTTCTTCTGGGTGCACTAGCCAACTACATTTCCCAGCTTCCTTTGCATGTAGGATGGAGTCATGTCTAGCAAACAAAATATAGATAGAAGTGACGTTTGTTACTTCCAGGCAAGGCAATAAAGCCTACTGCACAACCACCCAAGGTCTCTCTCTCTCTCTCTTCCCTATGGATACAGCCAGAAGTAAAGAACTCCAAGGTGGTGGATCCATCTCATGGAAGGATCCTAGATCCCTGAATTACCTCTTTGAAGAGAGCTGTCTGGGAAAACGGCCCAATTAGCACTGGACTTGGACTGAACAAGAAATAAACCTTTCTTTTGTTGAGCCATTATAATGTTGGGATTGCTTGTTAAAGTAGTATTAATAAGCTTAATATAATATGCTATAGTACTCAAAGTATATTTCTTCTTTTTTTCCTTTCATCACCTAGGCCTATTCTTTCTCTTGTGCCTGTTCTTCCTATTTATCTTCATATTCCCCTTCTTTGTTGACTTGAGTTAATGTTTACTTCTAAGGAAGAGGAAGAAATACGTGAGTAGTTTTCATCCTGTGCCTTGTTAGGACCCTTGTTTAAGAACTAGGGTATCTGAATGGCATAAGGTGAAAATAATACTGCAATTCTTCCTTTTGCAGAGACAGAGTGTGTCTTGTCTTTGGTTAAAGCGTTGCCTTGTCACAAATAGCAGTGATCTGCCCACCCTGCTAGAAGTTCCCAACAGTGATAAATACCAGGAAAGAAATGTCAGAGTTGGTAGCCACCTGTGGGTCAAGAACCGTGCTTTTATTTTCTAAAGTGTTTGGTAGTGGAGAAGTGCATACTGGTTGCCCTAAAGCTTTTTGTTCACTCTCAGAGTTACCTCCCGAAAACAGTAAATCATCATTTCAACTTGATTTTTCATTATTTCATTATTCATGTACCCTTGCCTTCTTTTCTTCATATAGAGCAAATGCAAGGAAAAAAGAGAGGACCCGCCCTCACTTCAGAAACCACACCCCAAACCATACTCAGCCCTTCACCCTCACCCAGCCCCCCATTTTCTTAGCCCTAGATCCCCCCAACTCCATTGTTAAAAGAAAAAATAATTCAAATAAAAAACAGCTCATAAAACAGTAAACAAAATAAAGTCATTTTTTTTTTTTTTAAGAACAAAATGAAACTTGAGGGAAAACTTACTGGAGTTACAGTTTATCCTGATACAGTCTAGATGGGGAAAAATAAATGAAAGATGAAATTGCATCCTTCAAGGTAACAGCTGCAGACATCCAAAAACAATCAGTCCACCCTTCCGGGGACAGACACACGTAAGAAATGTGGCCATTTTATATATATACAGTATGTACAAGTTTAAGGGTGGGTGTATATGTACAGTATATTAGTAAAGTTGGATACATATATATATACACACACACACATATATATACACATATGTATAGAGATATATACTGGTATACATATATATCCACAGTAGACACCAAGCATGTTTTCTTTTTTTTCCCCAAAAAAAAGCTATTCATTTATATAAAGGATTTCAAACCTGGACTTCGAAATATTAATTTTGTTAAACTTGGAAAATTAGGCAATAATTCCCCCACCAAATGCAGGTTATATTCTATTTTCCCCTATAATTTATTTTCTTAAAATTCATTTTTAAAGTAGCATTATCACAATTTTTGTATTAGTATTCCAAAGATATATCACCAGTCTGACTCACTGTATCATTTTAAAACTCTGCCCATGAAGTTTCTCAGTGAAGTATTTAACCCTTTCTCTTTTTCTAAAAACAAACTCCCTCCACCCTCTCCTTAGGTTGGGCCCCAAATGCTATAGAAATTTGCATAGGCAGACTTGCCGTCTTCCTTAGAGGTAAGGAAAGGGTTAACACCACCTGGTCATTTCCTGTCATAAAATGGCCACTTGCAAACAGCTAACCGCACAAACACCCATCCCAGATTTTAGAGAGGTGGGGTCGGGTGTAGGGTCAAAGGAGTTGTATGATGTTATCACAGTGAATTGGGTTATCTGATTGCTAGTGATTCAAAGGCTCCCAGATCAACCCCCTCGCGCAGCCCATCTCTGTCTTCCTGCCTGAATGCTCAGACTGAATCAAGTGCCCTCAGCATTCAAGGAGAAGGCAAGACAGGCACGTGTGGAGGAGGTCTCGGCACCTTTGACATCTTGAGTATTTCACTCTGTGATTCTGCATCTTGAGGAGAGAAAATTTTTTGGTTTTGGTTTCACTTTTTTAAATGGGAAAGGGAGGGAAGAAAAGAGTGACCAACTGGCCAGAGCCAGTAATCAGACAAGGAATTCTGTGCCAGAGATCAGCATATCTATCACTGTATTAATCTCTGCTTGGGAGTCATGGACACACAACATAGAAGTCCTTGAGTAGAATCAGTGGGCAGTAATAGGGGACTGGGCAGAAAAGGTCGGAGAAAGGTCTCAGGTTAGTTGTTACCAAGCTGCCCAGTTCAGCCTAAGGTTGGTTTACCATGGTGAAAATTCCAATAAGGATTTGTTTACTGTTGTACCCTAAAAGGTAGAAGTAAAATGATGTTGTTGTTGTTTTTTTTAAAGGAAGAAAGGTAGAGGGGAAAATATAGTCACAAAGTACTCTTCTTCCTCTAAAAATCCAATAGTTTTTAGAGGACTTGTGAAGGATGATGCCACCATTTGAATTCCCCAAAGTGAATCATTTTAAAGGAGCAAGAATAAAGGGGAGAATGAAGCTAAGTGAAATCTGGAGAGGAGTGATTTATAGCACCCAGTTATCCTGAGGAAGGAGGCAGAACGCTTATTTGTTCCCGAGAAGAACATCTCTTGAGAAAAATCTGGGTTTGGTTTCGTGCGGTTAGGTTTGTCATGTGTCGTCAACCGCAACAGAAAAGTGGGAGCAAACAGCCCTGGAGCAACCGGTACGATCACCAGACAGAGGAGGCCATGCCCCTGGTGAGGACTGGAAGGAGGGAGGGCAGGGAGGGAGGAAGAGGTGATGGCTTCAGCTACTGACTGCACCTACCATCACCCAAAGATGGAGAAATGTCCCTTCCTGACATACTAAAGAGAGAGAGGAAACTGATGTACAGACATGCTTATGAGAGAGGAAGAGTGAGCCTAAAACAACAATCCCAAGGACTGTAAACAACAAGTGGGTTTTGTCTTCGGCTTCTGTGTAGCTGAGGATTTTACTATTAGATGAGAAGCTGGCCTACTGAGAGGTGCTGGCTTGGGCTCATCTTTCTGGGTCACCCAAATGATTTCATGTAAAGTGGATGGGGTCTTTAAACCAATGTGAGGGCTTGGCGCTTTCAAGAAGGCAGACAGTTTGTTTACTTCACATCAATATGTGAAGAATTACTTTGTTATTTTACCTGAAGAATAAGTGGTTTGAGAAGGAAAATCTATCCCAGAGCCTTCTTCATAGGCTCTGAGGGGGTGTTCTTGTTACTGAATGTGTATGTGTATGTGTATGTGTATATGTATGTGTTTGTGTGTATATATATGTGTGTGTGTGTGTACGTGTGTATATAGACACACACACACATACACATTTATATATGTGGGTTTTTTTGTTTTAATAAAAAACATGAGTCAAATAACTGAGTTGGGAGGGCAATTTCCTTTAAATCTACTTTTGGTAGCAGCCAGACTTTTTGCTTGAAAAAAGTCCACCTAAGTCTTGGCATATCTTTTGATGTGTGTGTGTTCATATTTGTATGCTGCCTGTTTTAATTTTTTTTTAATTACGGTAAATGATAGAAAGTTTTTCTTTCTTTCTTTTTTTTTTTTTTTTGAGACAGAATCTCACTCTATTGCCCAGGCTGGAGTGCAATGGTGAGATCTCGGCTCACTGCAACCTCCACCTCCTGTGTTCAAGCGATTCTCCTGCCTCAGCCTCCCGAGTAGCTGGGATCACAGGTGTGCACCACCACGCCTGGGTAATTTTTGTATTTTAGTAGAGATGAGGTTTCACCATGTTGGCCAGGCTGGCCTCCTGACCTCATGATCCGCTGCCTCGGCCTCCCAAAGTGCTGGGATTACAGGCGAAAGTGCCTGTAATAACAGATTAAGGTGCCTGGCCAAGAAAGTTTATCTCATTGTTGAGCTTTGGGTGGAGCATGGAAGAGGTAAATGTTTCTAAGAGCTGTGTGTCTTCAATAATGTATATGGTAAACAGTAGTAGCAAGTCCACATTTCCAGAGAGGGAACATCTGGAGAATTCAAATGCAATTAACCAAACTGTATGCCACTCCCTCAGAGTCTGCCATTGAAGAAGGGCTCCTGGCACTCTGCTAAGGATCTTTTAAAGGCTTTGTCCATATCAACTGTCTTTTCTCTAGTGCAGCTCAATTCAAACTGGGCACTGAGGAAAATGGAGATTCTTTCTGTGTGTGTTTCAAAGGTGACCATCGTGAAAACAATTGGAAGCCATTAAGACTGACACATCATTGACCCATAGTGCTGATCTGTGGAGGGAACAAATAACCCAGGCTGATCTAGCAGTTTAGAGACATGGGTTCTGGTTCCAGCTCTGCCTCCAACTTTTTATGTAAGCTTTGAAAAGTCATATATTTCTCTCTGCGCTGCACATCTGTAAAAGCAAGCATAAAAACACTTGCTTGATTTATCTCACAAAATTATCATGAGATTATCATTAATCTCATGAGATCATGAGATTAAAATAAGACAAGGTCTTTAAAATCTTTAAATATGCTGTAATAATAAAATGTTATAGCTTATAATTCTGAAGGATCAAAATATGGTTGATCAGTAGTCAACCTCTCAACTTTTTAAAAGTTGTGCTGAGTTATAGCATATTTCTCCTACCCATTAGTACCACATATGGCTGCCTGCAGAAGACAAAGCCATTGGAAAACCATAGTCTCCTTGACATTTGGAAGATATGTTACATCAGGGAAATATATACTAGGCTTTTACATCATGAGTGCATATGTGTGATCAATTTGAAATAAACTAAAATATTATTAGTGCAGTGCATAGGCTAGAAAAAAGACACAACTTGAATAGAGTGAAGGAGCACAGAGATCATCTGAAATTAGTTTTGGTGGAATGCATGCGAAGGCAAACTCTACTTGAGTTATCATCTGACTTTAGTTTTAGTGGTACTTGAGTGATCATCTGACTTTAGTTTTGGTGGAATGCATGTGAAGGCAAACTCTACTTGGAGACATTTTCTTCTATAACTGAGAAAAAGGAAATATAAATTCATGACAAAGAAAAGAAGATATTTACAAAGGGGTATGTTCTGGGGAGGGGACAGAAGGAAAACCTTTCAACAAGGCATAGGTAGGAAGAGCTGCATCTACACAAGCGTAAGAGTTTAAGTTCAGTTTTCCATGTCAGGTTGGAAAGAAAGTCAAATAAATTCAAACCAGTAATTATGGTGAACCATATCCTTTGGGGTAGAAAAATTAACTATGGCTTCTGGACAAGCACAATACTCTCTACAGAGGGGCTACTTCTCTTTTGCCTGAGACGGTTCAACTCAGCAGGAGCTAGATTGAAATTGCAACAACAACAACAACAAAAAAGCAAAGTCTATTGGAAAAGCACATCTCCCAGATTTTGGCTAGAGTTTAAAATACAAAAATAATGCTTCTAGGAATGCATATGGGATCTATGACTAACTCAAGGCGTATGTGTGTGTGTGAGAGAGGATGAGAATCTGTACAGTTATTTCCTTATTTCTCATACCCTTTTATTTCTACCCCCACTGACCCCAGTTTTTCCTTCTAAGATGTGAGAGCTGTCAAAGTTGACACTCTAATCTCAACTAAACAACATCTAACGGGGAAGAAATGTGTGTTGAATGACACAGTGTGCACTCCCTCAGGATCCCGTGGGGCTGAATCATTCTCATATGTTTGTCTCTCTCTGACTTTGAAATAGATCCAAAGATAAAAATTGTCTTCATCATCTTTTTCAGTGAGCTAGTTAGGGGGTGGTATTTGGTTCTGTTTTTTTTTGAATTTCTTCTGTTGTTTTTTCTGAGAAGGAGATAGTCAGCTGCTGGCTGTTGGTTTTAGGTAACACACTCTTACATTGATTTAAGGTGGGGAGGATGTTGCAGGGATGGAAGGTAGTAGGGTCAGGGGTATGCCAGTCTCTGTAGGCTGCTCAGTACACTCTGTTCTCAAGGCTGTTTGCTATGCGGGCCGCAGGCTTTGGGCCTTTGAAGGGTTGAATACCATCTTTTGATTTACCATGGTTGATGGCAGGGAGGATTGGAAACTCAGGAACACACGCACACAAAAAGATCCAGCAAAAGAAAAAAATATAACCTAAAACGACCGAACACACACATACACAAACAAAAGAAAAACCAACAGACACACTGACAACTGAAGTCAAATGAAGTTGGACAAGAAAAAGGGCACAGTATTGTAAACACTGCAAACTAGAAGGAAAAAAAAGGCGTAACTAAAGAAGTCACTGCTCAAAACAGTCCTTTGTGTCCCAGAGATTTTAGGTTTATGGTGTAGGCATTTTCCAAGTATGTCCAGTTAACCTGACAGTAGATAAGATTGGAATGGATTCAAAAACCCCACCTTCCCACCAGGACATCTATGCCTACATATGATCTCACATCTGGTACAATTGTTCATCATTTTTTCTTCATGGCTCTGACAAACCATTTCACTGAAATCTTTATAAGGTATCACTATATCCAAACATATTCTACATACCCAAATAAATTCACTAACTTAGAAAGTTTGGACCCAGCTATCTCACTAATCTTATCAATGCTGGGTATTGACTTTCTGCTGATTAGAAACAGCAGAAATGGAGAGGTTTTTTTTTCTTGCCAAAAACCAAGAGGACCCCAATCTCTACAGAATATCAATTAGAATTCAGTAAAGGTCAATAGCAGAAGAGAATATGAGGCCATAAAAAGGAAAATTTCCAAAGATTTTGTTATAGGTAATTACAACGAAAGAGAAAATCCTATTCTGATAAAGCTACAACTCTGAAGTCACAATTTTTCAACTCTGAGGTAAAATAGATATGTGTTATATGAGGAGAAGAGAGTTATTAGTGAGTGACAGTATGAGGTAACAATCTTTGCACAAGGGGATGCTGAGTGATGGTTAAGAATCTCAAGAAGAAAAATTGGTATAGGTATCAGGAGTCACATTTTCCTTCCACGTGTCACAGACTCTCAACTTAGGGCATTATTTTCCAAGGGAACAACAATCTATTTGTCCTCCCTCTAGGAGAAAGTCAAAGGAGATATCAGTGTCATCAAGGCCACCAGAATTCTCCATTTGCATAGTAACTGTGGAGCTAGAAACAATGTACTTCTCACCCTACCCACATAGTTTAATTTCCTACAACCCCACCATCCACATTTTGCCTCCACTTCCTGCCCTGTCCCTGTCCTGAGCTTTGACTGTTTTGAGTGGTGACGGAGGAGTTGGACTTATGGGAATATGATTGATCAAAAGATGGACCAAAGTAGCGTGTTTTACACAAAGCTAAACGATTCCAAAAAACCAAGAAAGGAAACTTAGAAAACAAATAATCTAGTAAAGAAATCACCACTGTCAGAAACCAGAAATTGACATCAAAACCTCATGCAGAAACAAGGAGGTGTTTGTTGCTGTTGGGTTTATCCTTGGTCTATTAAACAAGAGGTGAGCAGCTAACTTTCAAGAAACAAACAAAGAATTCAATCAAACCAATGAAAATCAGAAAAGAAAGGGAAGACAAGCCCAAACGGAGTGGCAGAGGGTACTTCATACGATACCTAAGTTAACCATGAGCTTGACACGCCCCCCATCCAGCTCCAGACGCAGGGTGTCGGCAGAGTCCCTGGAGGTCGTAGCCACCAGCAGCCCATAAGCTCGCTGGGACATGAAGCGGAAGGACACATCCTCTGCCTCAGTATGCATGACCATGGGCATGATGATCTTCATGTACATGCTACCATCATAACTCAGGATGGATGCCTCTGCCAAAGAAGAATGGAGAAGATCGTTAGGATGACGGATGTTACAGTTGCCAAATACCCCTTTGCTTTCAGGCTAAGTAGAGTAGAGAGGGTGCCAGATTTGTAGCCTAGTGACTTGTGTTTGATTAACCTTTGTTGTTGCCCCCTTTTTATCTATGTGACCCTGGGCAGATCACTTAAACTCTGAGGCTCTATTTCCTCATTTGTAAGGGGATTATGATGACACTGGTACCTGCACTACCAGGTTCACAGACTTGTGAAGGATACCAAAGTAAATAATGGATATGAAGATATTTTGAAAAAGTGAAAATGCCCCCACTAATAGTATTGTTTGCAATTCTGTATACTATAGATAAAACACAAGTACATAAAGCAAAACTTAGAATCCCTCTATTCCATGAAGAATAGGAGGAGAGCAGCAGTTTATAACCACCACAGCAGACAAATCAACATTTACCAGAGAGCTTTTAAAGGAAGGAAAAAGTAACAGCATAATCTGGCATCATAACATCCCCAGTGTCCAGCCATTGTAAGTGTTTGGCCCATTCAAAGAATATCTGATAGAAGCAGAGCTAGAACAATAACAGAAAGCTAATGACACCCTTGAAAAACTCATTTTATTTTATTCAAATAGGGAAAGAGGAAAACTCAATTATTATTTTTTTATTTTTTTGAGACAGAGTCTTATTCTGTTGACTAGGCTGGAGTGCAGCAGTGCAATCTTGGCTCACTGCAGCCTCTGCCTCCCTGGTTCAAGCAATTCTCCTGCCTCAGCCTACTGAGTAGCTGGGATTACAGGCACATGCCACCATGCCCAGCTGATTTTTGGATATTTTGTAGAGATGGGGTTTCACCATGTTGGCCAGGCTGGTCTTAAACTCCTGACCTCAAACAATCCACCTACCTTGGCCTCCCAAAGTGCTGGGATTACAGGCATGAGCCACTACGCCTGGCTGAAAACTCACTTTTATTTGATACCTTCCTCAGTCTAAGCACTTTGGTTAGGATCCCCTCCAGACCTCCCCCAACAATATGTTACCTCAATTAATGCTATAGTGTGATTCTATTATTCCTACTTTCAGACAAGAAAACCAAGACTCTTAAAGAGGTATGTTATCATCCTAAAGTCACACAGCCTCCCTGGATTTGACTCAGTATATCTGATACCAAGTCCAGGGACTATTATGAAATACTATGATGTTTGATATGTGAATTTGTTTAAACATTCAAGAGGCAAATCTTTTTAGAAAACACAGGAAGAGAATATCACTCATATTCCTAGGAAGCAAACTGGTCATTGGGTTCAGTAACACTGAGTAGGTCTTTATTAAATATTTGCTTTTGTCAAATATTAGCTACCTACAGGCACTATGGAGAATACAATAGCGAAACAGACAAGGTTCCTGTTCCAAAGGCAGATATAGAATGCACAAGCAACTGTACTAGAACATACAAGTGGTTAAACGACACGGGAAATAAATACAAAAAGCAAGTAACATTCACAGGAAGGGAGCTGAAGGAGGAAGGCGATTAACGTAGATGGGATAGAGTCTGTGCTGGTCTTGGTGGATGAGTAGGGCTTATAATGAAAGAAGCAATGGCACCATTTTCAACAGGTAGAGCAGGTAGTATCTCTACAGACATAAAGGAAAGAAAGAAGGAGGATGCTCAGATTATGACAAACTATTCAATTTAACAGAAGCATCTGATGTAGTTTGGCTCTGTGTCCCCACCCAAATCTCATCTCAAATTGTAATTTTCATAATCCCCATGTGTCGAAGGAGGGGCCTAGTGGGAGATGATTGGATCATGGGGGTGGTTTCCCCCATGTTGTTCTCATGCGTTCTCATAATATCTGATGGTATTGTAAGTGTTTGACAGTTCCTCCCTTCACGTGCTCTTTTCTCTCCTGCCGCCTTGTGAAAAAGATGCCAGCTTCCCTTTCCATCACAATTGTAAGTTTCCTGAGGCCTCCCAAGCCTTGCAGAACTGTGAGTCAATTACACTTCTTTCCTTTATAAATTACCAGTCTCGTATATTTCTTTTCCATTTTTTGAGATGGAGTCTCGCTCTGTCATCCAGGCTGGAGTGCAGTGGCGCGATCCCGGCTCACTACAAGCTCTGCCTCCCGGGTTCATGCCATTCTCCTGCTTCAGCCTCCCAAGTAGCTAGGACTACAGGTGCCCAGCTAATTTTTTTTTTTTTATTTTTAGTAGAGATGGGGTTTCACCTTGTTAGCCAGGATGGCCTCAATCTCATGATCTCTTGATCCACCCAGCTTGGCCTCCCAAAGTGCTGGGACTACAGGCGTGAGCCCACGTGCCCGGCCTCAAGTATTTCTTGACAGCAGTGTGAAAACAGGTTAATACAGCATCAGACATGTATTTTTTTAAAATGGTTATTATGTAAGGTAGTTTGAGACCAGAATAAAATCAAAGAACTTGGGCATCTACTGGAAAGTAAGTAAATGGTTTTAGATTATGAGATACAATAATATATACTTCTGTGCTTACTGATTGCCAGGCACAATTCTAGGTGATAGACATAACAGTGAACAAAAGAGAAAAACACCCCTACCCTCATATCTAGAAAGAATTGAAACAGGGAGAAACAAGAGTCAGGCAGACCACATGGAAGGGTCCAAAAATACTGTGTTATTATCATACCCTTACCCTGTTTAGATACCACACAAAAGATCCATGAAAAGTAATATAAATGCACTTATGATATGCCTGAAAATCAGCCATCTCCCAGGTAAAACTCATAATATGCTAATAGCTGTATATTACAATTTGCAAACTGTAAAGGGATTACAGATAAAAGTGTGACAGTTGCAAACAGCATTACAATAAGACATGTTATGAAGACCTCTTCTTAGGTTGGAAGCAATCTAAATTTAACACATGATCCAGATGTGAAACAAAACAAAACAAATCTTTTATCTCCTGGAAGGGCAGAATCAAAAGAAGATCAATAATGACACCTAAAATTGAGCATTTACTATTTGGCTGGTGCTTTCTAGGACTTTATATGCATTAAGAAGTCATTTAATTTTCAAGAACACCATGAAGCACTATAACATTTTCTAGATATCAAGTAACATGTCTAATAAATGGCAGAGCTGGGAGTTGCATGCAGGCAGTCTGATTCTCCCAGCTGTATACCTAACAGTCCTGCCAAGTTGTCATAGTGCTATGCCTGGAGCACACCCATGTTTCCAAGCACCAAAGCACATCCGTAACACTTCATGATAGAAGTTCTTGTGTGTGTATGTGCATGCATATACAAACATGCCATTCATTAAAGTCATATATTATAAATATACAAAATTGTATAAACATATAAATATTTCTAAACATATTGCTCTATATGAATATGCAATGCTCTCTGTGTAATTGTGAGCACCATTAATCATTAGTATGCATCTACTTCTACATACAAACACACTCTTCTTTAAGAGATATTATGATATGAAGTGAGCCATGAAATGGTTGCTTTGATGCATCCCACCGAAATACATTTCAAAATCAATGGCTGCTTTTTTCCTCTAGATATGTGTAGGGCCAGAACATACATATAAATTAATACATCCTTATATCAATATTGGTAGCATCAAAGAATAAATATCAGGAGAGCATGTAGTTAAACAACTAATGATACAAAATAAAGTGCGTATCTCAATGTGTATCTTTGTGTACATTTCTGTGAATGTGTTCTATAAGTAATATCTTTAAGAGGAGAATGATGAAGCAGTAAATTTAATATAGGAGTCAATTGAAACAAAATGTTATATGGATTCATATTAATTTTTAAAAAAATTTTAAACACAAGGAGAGCCATGAATAGAATATTAATTTTAGGGAAGAAATGAGCCTAATAAGAAAACGTTATTCAATCTTAAATCAATCCGATTATTGAGTATTGAGAGACCACATCATGGGATGCCTACCTAATGGTACTTAGTTATTCTATCTTGTTCCTCTTTTTCTCTTTTATTATCTCCTTTTGTCTCAAGTGAATACTTCCAAGCATACTATTTTAATTCTTTTAATAATTTTAACTATGTTTTTGTGATATTTTCTTATTGGTTGCTCTAGGGCTTACGATATACATGTTAATTTACCAGAATCTACTTCATCTTTATACTAATTCAATCCCAGTAAGACATAGAAAGTTTACTCATAGATATAGCTCTCTTCCCTTCCACTCTTTTTGTTCTCTTATTCACGTGTCTATATATATTACAAACCAAATGATACATTGTCATAATTCCTTTATAAAAACTTATTTCTTTTTTTGAGACAGAGTTTCACTCTTGTTGTCTGGGCTATAGTGCAGTGGCTTGATATCAGCTCACTGCAACCTCTGCCTTCCTAGTTCGAGATTCTCCTGCCTCAGCCTCCCGAGTAGCTAGGATTACAAGTGCCAGCTACCGTGCCCAGTAAATTTTTGTATTTTTAGTAGAGACAGGGTTTTGCCATGTTGGCCAGGCTGCTCTCGAACTCCTGACCTCCAGGAGTTCAAGATCCACCCACCTCGGCCTCCCAAAGTGCTGGGATTACAGGCATGAGCCACTCTGCCCAGCCAACTTATGTCTCTTTTAAGAAGCTAAGAGAAAAGAAAAAGAGAGCTCAAATACATAGATACTTTTTAAATAAAACTTATTATTTATCATCTTTGACTCTCTTCATTTCTTCCTGTGTATTCTACTTACCACCTTCTGTCACTTCCTTTTTCCAGTAGAGCTTCATTCATGTTTTATTGTCAAATATATTATAATTCTATATCTTATAGGCATAACAATACTATTTTATAGATACTGTTTATGTGATTGCTTTTATAATTAGATAAGAAAAAATGTATAATTATACTGTGTTTTGTCATTACCTACCTAATTACCTTTACAGAGCCCTTTATTATTTTTTTATGTAAATTCAAATTACTGTCTGCTGTCACTTTCAGCCTGAAGTTCTTTTAGCAGTTCTTGTACGGTAAGTGTG